CCCCCCCCCCCCTCCAGGGGATAGCTATGGTGTACTTTATCAAATGTTAACAAACGTGAGTTGCTTGTTTGCTTGACCAAAAATTGTGAGCAGAATTTTCTTGGAGGGAGAAAAAGCATACTTTTCCCGTTTTGTGGAAGTTTTAGGCAGTCAAAGAGGGATTCCAAAGGGTCCAAAAAAATCAGAAATTCCAGAGTGGAGGGAAGGGGAGAGGAGGGGTTTACGATTCTGGAATTCGGAGGGCATGGGGGATTGAGCATTTTGGAATTTCCATAGGCAAGGTGGGGTTAAAATGTTCATGCTGCCCATGGTAGGGTATGGATATTTTCTGGAATCACCCAATTTCCACAAATGGAGGGCTGCAGCCCCCCTGGCCTCCCCAGCTCGTATGCCTATGGATACTCTGTATGTTAAATTTAGAGCAAAATAACAGGGAAATAACAATTAAGAATTTGTTAATGGAGTTAATTTTCGATTTAGACAGCTTAATCAAAGTAATTAAGTGACATCCATTGACGTGACTTGGCGTGGCTAATAATTAACAAAAAATAACTGATACCCTCCTCTGATTGCAACACAAGGAATTGCAGTTTTCTGTTACCATGAGAGCAAAGTTTCATTGGGAATGTCTAATCAGACACTGAAACGGATCATGAAACGTTTGAGGTCTTATGGAAGATATAATTTCTAATACTGTCCAAATTGTGAAAAGACCGCATCCCGCAGGTTGGGAGAATACCGCAATACTGCAGTTCAAGATTAAAATTACTGAAATTCTGGAAGAAAAATTGTCCAATACTGCAATACCACAAACCCCAATGTCCCCCTTTCATTTAGCTGCTTATTTTATTTTAATGCACATCAAGAACGTGATATATTTTGCATTTGAAAGTCTGTATGCGAGCCAAGTGGCCCATCAGGCCAGAGCTTGTCGCAGTCTCTGTAGTAATTGAAGCGACCAGGAGTTAATTTCTTAACTCCTTCCAGCGGGGATGCTACTGCTAGTCCATCATGTGGGTCGGTATGAAACATGGACCCCTCAATCTGGACCCCCTACTGGACCTCCTTTTGGACCCATCTGGACCCCTTCTGGACCCCCTTCTGGACCCCCTTCTGAACCCTGTCTGGACCCCTTATTTGGACCCCCTTCTGGACCCCCATCTGGATCCCTTTTGGAGCCCCTTCACCAGACCCCCTTCTGGACCCCCTATTTTTTTCTTTCCAAAAATACAGGCTCTATTTAATCAGTGGGCAAAATGTGAAGAAATGATGAATTCACGCAGCGTTGTGAATAATATGATG